GTACAATGATTTGGTGGTGGGGAACGTCAAGAAAGGATTGTTAATTTTCAAGTTTCCTTTGCCATGAAAAAGCTGAAAAGTATTTAAGCTGAAGGAGAAAAAGGGAAAGCAATATCTCTATTCTTTTATTGCATTCCCTTTTTCATTTATGGTTATGGTTGTTGTAAGGGCAGCTATACTAGAAAACACGCAAGACAAAGATCAGAGATCACCGCACCTCAGCTGCGGGACTCAGAGTTTATCGCACCTCAGCATCTAGCCGAAAGTGTATGGCAACCACAATAGGCATGCCCTCATCTGATCATTTGTCCCTACCAGAACACCCTTTCTCAAGGGACCTGCTCTGTCAGAATACACCACGCCTATTTAATGCGGTTACTTCGTTAAGGCACGTTGTATTCACCTAAAACGTCTACTCCGTCAGGCGCACTATGTCACCATTATTGGATTGATTGAGCCACGTGGGTGCGGACAAGCCACGTGGGTGCCTTGCTAAGATGGACAAAGCCCACAAGGTAAGGTTCGATAAAGGGGCGGAACAAAAAGAAAAACATTATTAGAAAAAAACTGACTTAAGCATCGGAGTTTCTCCCCGAGGACCAACCTCGGGATCTTGCAGGACCATTTGGAGAAGGATCAACTCGAAGCGGAAACTCAAGGATATTCAGCAACTACATTGGCATCGTCTGTGGGAAAATGAACAAAAGTCATCACTAGAAGTTAAGATGGTACACACACGAACAACCCAGCGCGGGAGTCCTCCCCAAGGCCAAGGAAGAGGCCAGCCCCCAAGTGTCAACCTCGTGTCACAGAATGTACCGATTGCAGCCGCCCAACATCAGCAGGTGGAAGGAGTTGAGGAACATAATCCACAATATCCCAACGCCGTAGCAAGCGACCCTGTAACTGCTCAACTCAATGCCATGCAATAACAATTCGGGGTCTTCCAGCTAGTGCTCGCCCAGCTGTTAGCCAGAGATAACCCCGCTGATCCACTTATCCACTTACTAAACCCAGCTCCTCTCATGGCCCCCCAACCAACTCAATAGCCTGCCAACTCCCCAGTCCGCAGTGTCGCCCCGATTGCTTCCCAAGCACAATCCCACATGCCACCCTTGCCCCAAAACCCGCCTCAACCAGCTGCCTCAGATGTCTCAAAGAGGCTAGACAACATAGAAAAGCTGTTAGCCGAGAACAAAAACCCACAACCACAGACCCCACCTATATCAACCTCCATCCCCACTCCTCTCAATACCAAAATTACCCAAGAGCCATATCCACCCGATTTCAGAATGCCACAGTTTGAAACATATGATGGCACTAAAGACCCTGATGACCACTTACATGCATTTTTCTCCGTCATGTAGGCTCAAAACGCCTCAAACGCGCTCATGTGCAAGATGTTTCCCTCCACATTGCGCGGCAATGCTCGGACCTGGTATCACACCCTGCGTCCGAACTCGATTAATGCATATGCCGAGCTGGCCACCTCCTTTGCCACCAAATTCTCAAGCAGAAGGTTGATTAAAAAGACGACACCCAAGCTCATGCGGATAACACAAAGAGATGGCGAATCCTTGAAGAACTACATGAACAGGTTCAATGACGCCATGTTGGAGGTCAATGCCTTCGACGAAGCAGTGGGAATAACCGCCGTGATACAAGGCCTCAACCATGATCGGTTTCGAGATAACTTGATCAAGCACACCCCGACCACTTTTGACGAGGTCAATCAGAGATCCCTTAAGTTCATTAAGGTCGAGGAGTACGTTCTGTCCAAACCCCAACCCCCCAAAGAAGCTAGAACTCTCGCCTGGAGAGAAGAAGGCCAGAGCAGAAAGAAGTTCAAACCCACACAGAACTGAGGCCCAATTTCGGTTCCCAAGCTAGACAAGCCCGACTCCAGCGCCCCGCAAACGCGGCCTAGGCCACCTTCATGGACCTCCTTCACAATTTTGAGGTCGCAAATTCTCATGCAAATCAAGAATAAGATGGAGCTGAGGAGACTAGCCCCCCTATAGAGCCTAGCGGCAAGCAGAGACCACACCAGATACTGTGACTTTCACCAAAATCACGGACATACCACGGAAGATTGCCACAGTTTGAAGTTCGAGTTGGAAAGTTTGGCCCGGAAAGGGGTGTTGAATGAATACATCCAAAACAGAAATTTGTAGAAGTTTGTCAAAGAACAAGGACAAGCGTAGGGATCCTGAGCAGCAAACAACAGGGATGGAGTAGGATACCAACAAACACCACCACCTCTTCCACCCCCACCAGAGTTATTCACATGATAACCGGCGAACCCGAAGCAGGTGGCACAAGCTCCAAGCAATAGAAGCTGTACGTGAGAGAGGTCAGGCACCACAATGCAGCCCAGAAAAGAAAGATCGACGGGGAGGATTGGAAAAACCAGTCTGTGACATTCACTTCGGCAGACTTCGAGGGGGTCGTCACACCCCACAACGATCCATTAGTCACCTCGGTTATCATTAACAACTGCGAGGTCCAACGAGCACTCATTGACACCGGCAGTGCTCCAGATATAATGTATTACCATTGCTTCGAGAGCCTCGGACTCGACCCCGCCCTCTTGTAAAAGTATGACAGGCCCATCTACGGGTTCAATAACCAGCCGGTACCGGTGGAAGGAGTGTTGCGGCTCAACGTGGCGTTTGGTTCCGGACGGATGTATGTAACACCCTCAGTCAGATTCCTGGTAGTAAAGATGGCTTCATCTTTCAATCTCGTCATCGGGAGGCCGACTTTGACCAAGATTCGAGCTATAGTGTCCCCGTTC